GCTGTGGTCTTTCCAGTAGTCATGTATGGATGTGAGAGTTGGACTATATAGAAAGCTGAGTGCTGAAGAATTGATGCTTTTGAACTGTGGTGTTGAAGACTCTTGAGAGTCCCTTGGACTGCAAGGAGATCCAACCAGTCCTTGCTAAAGGAGATCAGTTTAATTCTCAAGGGAGAGGACTAGTCTGTTGGCTCACTGCACTACATTCTCGTTGAAAACCATCCATTCCATTTTTGCTAATGAGAAATTGAAAGAAAAAAAAATCCAAAAAAACCCAGATTGACTGGTGTGTAATTTAGTCTTGAATTTTATTCAAACCAAAGGAGCATCAGTCTACTTTTGTTCCACTATGGTACTTTGAGTGTATATGAGAAATAATTATAATTTTTAGATGCATAATCAGAGGAGACAGAAAAGTTCTTAAAACAAACAAACAACAAACAATACTGTTGTTGTGAAACCTGTTATGAATGGTATCTTTTCATGAAGAAAAAAGACCAGTCTATTTCAGCTTTACTAAACAAAGAGTAGATTTTTGTTTAAATAATCTGCATCCTGGTGCCATTTCTACCTTCTCCATAGCTCATATCTAAGTTCCTGGGTTGCAGAGAACACCTGAAGTAGACCTAAACTGAAAAAGGCTGACTAACCTGTATGTATTCCACCAGTGAAGTTGCTCAGTCGTGTCTGACTCTGTGATCCCATGGGCTGTAGCCTACCAGGCTCCTTCATCCATGGAATTTTCCAGGCAAGAGTACTGGAGTGGGTTGCCATTTCCTTCTCCAGGAAGATATTCCCAATCCCGGGATCAAACCCAGGTCTCCCGCATTGCAGGCACATGCTTTACAGTCTGAGCCACGTATTTGCAATAACGGTCTATGCATTCAGCAGCAGCACAAGGCCAAAGTGGAAACGAAAGCTACAAACATCACTACCTCAGATATGCTAGTCACTCAGTCATGTCTGACTCTTTGCGACCCCATGGACTGTAGCCCACCAGGCTCCTCCGTCCATGGGATTTTCCAGACAAGAATATTGGAGTGGGTTGCCATTCCCTTCTCCAGGGGATCTTCCTAACCCGGGGGTTGAACCAGAGTCTCCTGCATTGCAGGTGGATCTTTTACTGTCTGAGCCACCAAGAGACCTTCCTTTTATCTGGCACACTTTTTCTAAGATATCTGCCTAGGTTCTTCCCTCATTTCCTCCAAATCTCTGCCCAAATGTCACCTCATCAGAGAGAACTTCCCAGATCAGGTTGTCTAAAAAAGCAGCTCTCTTCCCCAGTCAATAAGTCCCCTATTCACTTATTTTTTTTTTCCTTCAGAGGATGTATCAGTACCCAGTGTAATATGTTTGATTGCTGTCTGTCTCTCTGCCTATCACTCACTCTACTGCAAGCTCCATGGGTAAGAGCTTTGATCACTGTTATATTCCCAATACTTAACAGGGCACACAGTAGGCACTCAAGAAGTATTTTTTAAATGAATTAACGTACCAGTTGAGCAACTGAGGAAGGCAAACGTCAACTCCTATGAGAACCTAAGCAGACCCCTGACAGCCTAGGGTTTCAAAAACCAAGGGTTTCCTTTCTTTCTTCATACAATTTTTGTTTGGTCAACATGGTTTTAAAAACCAGCTTCCCTTTATCAGTTTGCTACAAAATTTCAAAATGTCTTTTTAAAACTTACATTCCTTATCCACGGAAGTGAGGAATTAACAAATATTTTGATCAATAGCAATCTGAATGTTCAAGAAAAGTATAACTATCAGAATTTTAAAAACTGTTACCAATGCTGTTACTTTTTAATACAAGAAGGCCGATGGCACTTCCTATAGCCACTAATTCATAAAGTGATCAGCTTAACAGGCCCCATGGGGCTGATGACATGGAACTGATGTAAGAGACAGCATACCATATAGCAAAGAAGCAAGTTTAAGAGAAAGAGAGCAGTCACTTCCCATTAGAAAGAATACATTCTCTAAAAATACTGCCAAGAAATTAGGAAAAAAAATCGCTTCCTATCATGAAGAATGGAGCTGGCCTTGAAATATAGAAACTCAGTTTCTAATACCGGTGATGATGTTACCAGCAGCTCAGCTTGGTAAAAATCACTGAATTGCTCATAGATAAACTACAAAATTTCTCAGTCACTGAGCATTATAGCTCCCTTAGTTAGCTATACTTCCACTAGAAGCAATGCAAAATGTATTTCAGCTATTAAAGAAACCTACAAACGTGCCTGCTCATCCAACCAGTTATCAAGTCAACATACAGCACATTCTGTATACAAAAAATGTTCAGAAAACTACAGAGGGCTACCAGTGTAGAATTCTTTAACTAATCCAAGGCTTTATCCAGGAATTACTGCTTCTCGGTTAGCTTAAACATCAATGTTTTTTTTTCTAGAAAATCAACTTGAGAAAATGAAAAGATAAAAAAATTCTATTTGATGAAATATTTTAAAGTTATTGGAAAACATTATATACACTGACAAAATTTTTTAAATGATCTCAACTCCAATAGGATGTACCAAATAACTTTCAAAAAGAAAATAACAATAAGACCATTACTGAAGCAAAGACATAAAATTTTGCTATTGGTCAAAAACCAGGCCAAGAAGACCAACTGTTGAACCAAGGGGAAAAAAATCCTTTTATTTTGGACATACCTCTTTAAATCTCTATAATCCAATACACAAAAGGTAGTTTATTAACAGCAAGTATAAACTACATTACAACAAATATGTAGGGAAACCAACCTGCTGTGAGAATCCACAGAAGAACTGGTACAAAAATTGTGGCAAAATGAAACAAAGGTTCTGGGAAAAAAAATGAAGAAAAGGGTTAATATGTTTCACTCCATCAACTTTTTGAAACTAAAACAGGAAACTGTACTCAATAGTATAGGCAGTCCTAAATGCTTCTAATGTCACAATGCAATAAACTTCTACTCCTGAGTTATAAGGAAACAATTCAAAACAATAGATTACATTCATATTGATACCAACTTCTGCTCTTCCCAGGCAGAAGACAATCTCACTTACTTTATGAGATCCTCTTGCTGTTCTAGAGAAGAAATGAGCTCATATAATATGAACACTTAATGGTACTGCACCTTAAATGCCAAATGGGTTTGTAAAATCATCACGAAGTAGACTGACATAAAGCTCTAAGTGTATAATTTAAAGTCTGCTAATGCCAATGAATAGTCAGGAAATTATTATAGTATATATTGACACAAACAAGTATCAACTAATGGTTTATTGCCTTTGTTACTACCTCATTAAACAATCAACTATTATTATTGATCATCTACCACAAGTAAAGATGACACTGGGTGATACAAAAAAACAAAACCTCTCATTTCTTTTTTTTTTTTTTAAGTTTCTTACTATCTTTATTCATACAAATAAAGTAGTCATGGGCAGCAAGCACATTTTCTTGGATGGTTT